ACATATATATATATATATACATATATATACACATATACATACACATACATACATATATATACACATATAATACATTTAGAATATGTTTGTACTATATATTAGATTTTTAATACATACACTTTGATATCGCACATATATATAAAAGTTTATTATTTGTTGCAGGATGTAGTATTAACTGTTTCTCTATGATAAGTATATCGAAATAAATATATATGTCTATTTAACTCAGTTCACATTAGTAAATCCGAACTTATGTACTAAATATACACGTGTCCCGCAATAAATACTACCCTATGCAAGAAGTAAAAGAAAGTAAAATTTTGAACAAAAAGTTCATTTTTTGTTTGTAAACCTTTAGTTATTTACCGAGTTTGTAACAATTAAAGTTCTTGAATGGAATACAGCGCGTATACAATGTATGCAGGAGCGTCGCGCGCTGTGTTACTGTTTACACTTGTCCCGATTCCATTGCTTCTAAAACTTCATTCTAGTATGTCACACTAGATAACACATGAAGAAATAAATAAGAACAGCTAAAATCTACTCAACTAATTTATTCATTTGGAAGAAGTAGTGATACACTGTACACAATTAATAAATATTTAAGTAATTAATGTTAATCGTGTCTTCTAATAGTAATATTATTTAAAAAAATAAATTACTTTAAACTAGAAATACTTATTTAGTTATAAAAAAAGTAACTTACTTTAAATAAGATTTACTCATCTATTTATGTTTATTCATGAGTTATTTTTTGAAATAATAAAAAAGTAAAAAGACACGATTGACATTAATTATTTATGTATTCAGTAATTTCGGACAATGTATCACTACTTTTTTCAAATAAATCAGTTAGGTGATTAATGTCCTGGTTTTATTTATTTATTCATGTAGTATCCAGTGTGACATAACAGAATGGAGTTTTAACAGAAGAAATGTAATCGAGACAAGTGTCAGGAGTAGCACAGCGCGCGACGCTCCTGCATACTTTGTATACGCGCCGTCTCATTTGAGAACTTTTATAGTTAAAAACGCGGTAAATAATACTCTAAGCCAAAAATGAAAAAGGAACTTTTAAATTCTTTTTAAAAGTTCGAAATTCACTCCCTGCAAGATTTACTACTCAGTACGGGACACTCTGTAGACGAAGCTTTGCTGATTTCAACGATATCCAAAAATGCATGCAAGAATATACACGTAAATACAAAATCTCTTAGTATCAGAAGATTTTATGTAACAAAAAAGACGAATAAAAAATTTTATGTAACAAAAAAAACGATTAAAAAATTTTATGTAACAAAAGACACGAAAAAACAATAACATCCAAAACTTTACGGAATAACATTGTAAGACGCAACATAAAAATATTCTACTGTTTGCACACATTTAAATGATAAATATATGGGCTATTTATGAGCATATAAACACGGTTGATGTAGTGTTGATTATTTAGTAATTTATTATTCTATTAACATTATTCTTGATTGACGTTNCGACCGTCGTATTCGGTCTTTTTCAAAATNNTTATATANTAACAAATTGCTGGGATTAATTATGGTCAGGTGTAAATTTCAATCAACGCAACAACGATCCTGTCTTTACCAAGTGATACCAGCAACTTGAATCACGCGCTCTTATCACATTAAGTTGCTGTTATCACTTTAAAAAGACAGGATCGTCGTTGCGTTGACTAAAAATAACACCTCCTGACCATGATCTTGCCTTTAAAAAACAAAACTGACCATAATTGATTTCAGCGGTTTGTTATTATATAAGAATTTTAAAAAAGACAAACGTCGATCAAGAATAATGGTAATAGAATAAGAAATTACTGAATTTGGCAATTTATATGTAAAATGTAAAAGAAGTGAAAATGTACTTAATAAATGTGATTCTCTTACCACTCTTTTGCAACAATTCGAAAAAACTCGAGCTTGGAGATATGAACGGTGAATTTTCTTTAACTGGAAGATCATGTAACATATGCTTTTATAAAATCAAAAACTTTCCGTCGTGTTTGGATTATTAGCGACTTCAGTAAAGAGAGAGAGAGAGATTGACCGAAAATCTACAATAGTTTTCATTATACAAATACTATTTACTTAACTCAGCTATTGTACGCACATACAATACAGTTTTATGTAATAATACAGATTGATCAATGCAGTTTTGAAAAAGCTGAATCTATGACATCTGTTAGTAAAAAATGTTATATTATAAATGCAGCATATTATCAGTACGACACATTTTTTAGCATAAAGTAAGATACAAAAACTTTATATGAGCATATACTAACTATATAATAAAATATTAAACAGTTTTAAAAAAAATTTGTGATATTTAACACAGACGTTTTATTGGGTTTGTGTTCTGTACATACATGTTTTACACGTATTACTTTTATATGTTTTTATATGTAAAAATGTGTATATATCGACACTCTCTACGTATATTTATATAAGTTCACAGACGGGTGTGTTCCAGATGAACTCGAAAATGAAACAGGCAAAGCAAGATGTATAAATCGTACACAGTCGCAATCTCGAATGCAGTTTCACTCAAACACAAGTTAAAACAAACACGAGATGAAACGGACACACGATAATCTCAATCGGACACATTAATATTAAAACAAGATTACTTTTTTAATGTTCTTTTTGTTTGTGCTGTAAACGTGTAGTCAAAGGCGGCCTGCACTTTTTTTTCGATTCGCGTGGAAAGGTAAAATCTATTTGAAATTTTTCTTTAGTTTTAGTTACGCTGCTTGTCAATGTTCGCCAGTATAATATGTCACTACAAGCGTCGTGTGTCCGATTGAGAATGTCGTGTGTACGTCTTAACTTATGTCCAATTGTAACTGTGTCCGATTGTCTCAGTTCTGTGTCTGTGTCTTGTCGTGTGCGATTGAGTCTGTGTCTGATTTACACATTTTATCGTATCCGTTTCGTCTTGTGTCTATCTGAGACTCACCGAGAAATTTATAGTTTATTGTATAGTGCTACTCAAAAGTGACGTTTTTATGATAAGCAAATAATAAAAAAATATATTTATAAGTAAAATATTCATAAGGTAAAATCAAAAACAAAAAGCTTCTTTATCCAGAGAAACATAAAGTGTTAAACTGTTGACCTGCTCTTCTCTAATAAATAAATTTGCGTTTTAGAGTTATGAGGTAAAACGTAGAAAATGATGATACTGTATATACTAAAAATATATACATATACATATGTATACATAGAATCTAATACATACCTATGTGCTGATACTAATTTTGGATCTTAATAAAAATGTAAAACAGTAATATTACAACAGTGTTACATAGACTTGTTACAATAGTTGTGACCATCGTCTAGCTTAGTCTAGTTGCTACGCGTAGATTCTAGAACTTTCCATGTTTATTTTGTTACGTCCTGGATTCCACGGTCCTTTTCTGTTTGGAACTAGACATAAACTAGTGTTACGTCCTGAGCCTATGGTTACGGTCGGGCATTTGTGGTAGTACGCAACAGACGCACTGACACATTCAAGCGAACGTGATATCTATCCCGGCACACTGACACAAGGAAGGAAGTCAGGAATGCGCGGGTCGAGCGAGACAGTTCGGCA